GACCTCACAACAATGGCAATATCACCCAGCCGGATGAAGGGAGCTTTGACTCTTGGAAACGTATTCCCTGAAACTCTTGTTGGTCTCTAATCTGCTATTGGACTCAAATCTAACTGTCCCAGTATCACCAAGTAAGTGTCATGCAAAATGTAGATCTGAACATGGGTCTCCTCAATCCACACTGGTCTTCATGCCATTGGTCCATCTACTTCAGCATGGTCTGCTCTGATGCAGGTGATCTCTAGAGATTCAGACAGAGACAGATCCTTTCCAACACCTGTTTTCTTAGACCTTCTCGGTTTAAACCTTTATCCTTTGGCACACAAAGCATGATTTCTCTACCATCAGTCCATCAGTGTCATCATTGTCTACTCAGACTGGCAGTGGTTCTCCAGGGTTTTATGTAGAGGATTTTGCCCATGCCATGCTTTGTTTCTGAGCCGTTGGGCCTGGCTAGGGGGGTTCTCAAGGGTTTCCAGGTCCCCCTAAATTTCTGGAGAACCCCTTTCTAAATCCCACATGGCTCCACCTCCATAAATAGTGACAATGGCCTGTGACATCACTGGCTCCTCCCTATGATGTCACTGGGCCTTGGTTCTTTTAAGGACCTAGCACAGCAATGCCTCTGGCCCAGCCTCAACAGGAAAGTCTACGTCCTTGCTTTCACAGATAATAACTATCAATATTTGCCTATTAGGCCACCAGTTTTTCAAAACCTCTGTAACTCTCAGACGTCTGGGCAGTTTAAACCCCACACAGGAAATACCACAGAGATTGTGGGAAATGGTGAGAAAGATGAGAACTTCCAACATCTGATCCTTCAGCCGCATAAAATTTGTATGACGATCGGCAACGGCAGGGGATCCCTTCCAAGCTGGGGGAAGTGGATGTCTGCCTAAGAGGCGGCTTAGTGAATTATTGAAGATCAGTCCAGCAGTCATTGATCTCGTGGCAGCAAAGCCCCTCGATGATTGGAATCAAGCAAAGGAAATTTTGTTTTCGTCCTCGTCTCCTGAGGCTCTTGTTCTGCTTCACAGGCAAAAGAAGAGCCTGAGTCAAAGAGGGGGTTTTCCTGCACGTGTATTTAAAGATACGACTGTACGGAGTCTTCACCCTCAGAGGACCTCTGCCAATGTACAAGCTGAAAGGAATAGAAGAGAGGCGCAAAATACTTTCGGGTGGCAATTGGCCAGCATCTCACTGCCGCCGGTGATTTTGCCACTTTTCTTTGGAAAAGATTTCTTGTTTTCTTGCCACACCCATCGGGCTGTGCTGGATGCTGAACTCGCGCATGTCTGGTACGCGGAAGACTGCCTGTGGCGTGTGGTGAGAGACACACCTTGGAGTCATTCTCCGCTGAAGAGGAAGGGTGTGTGAGAGGAAAGTGTAGCCTAGGAAATGCGGCCTGTTGCAACTGGAAGAAAGGCGAGGGAAGCACTGGGACGAAGCTGGGGGGGGCGTTTCCCTGTTGCTGGTTTGCGGGTTGCAGCTGTGGAGAAGAAGAGGAGGGGAAACTGGCTGACTGCAACCAGGTTAATTTTACTTTTTTTGTACTCTAAAAGGCCGAGTTTCACTGCAGGACCCAGTGATGTGTGTGTGTGTTTTCCTGGAAAGGAAGGGGGGGGGAATCATATTTCTTAACTGGGGAGTTATATGTCTTTGGTGATCAGTTTAGCAGGAGGGGCCATCTGGTTGGCCAGCATATCGGTGGCGTTCATGGAAAATTAGTTCTCTTTCATTTCCTCCCACAGCCTTGTTTTCCATCATTCAAGGGAGGAGAAGGTCCCAGTTAGGAAAAAATCCAGTTAACTGGCTCGCTTATTCCCTGAACGCTCAAAGCCGTGAGTATAGTCAAATGCTTGAAATGTGTTTCCTAGATTGGGGTGAGTGCTGCACCCCGAAGTCTTTACATCTCCCCCCCACACACACACACACCCCGCGATTTCTGCTCCCCACACTCTATCTGGTCTAATGGTCAACTGGGACCGTGGAGGCCCAGGTTCGAACCCCCGCCCTGCCACGGGAGCTTGCTGGGTGGCCTTGGGCCAGGGGTCACACCCTCGCAGCCTGGCCTCCCTCACAAAGCTGTTGTGAAGGTCGGATAGAGGAGGGGATGCCGCAATTCGCTCTGAGTCTCCTCCACTGAGGGGAAAAGGCAGCAGGGTATAAAATGAAGCGGAGTTAATGAAACGGGAAGGACGGGCCGATGAACTGCCCTGTGCACAGAATCTTAGAATCATAGGATGTTAAGAGTTGGAAGGGACCTTGCAGGTCATCTAGTCCAACCCCCCCGCCCTCTGCAGGAGAGTGGAGCTGGCCTGGCTTTCGCCCCCAGATCAACTGGGGTGCCCGGAGCCAGCTTTGCCCTGACCGCCCCCAGTCTAAAGATGGCAGTGCGACAGATGTCTCCTTCTCTCCCCCCCCCAGCAGCAAGTGGCACTGAGTTCTTTTTTAATGCCGAGGCAGCAGGGGAGGGGGGGCAGAGGTGGTGGGCTCTGGAGGAGGTGCTCGGGAGGCAGGGTGTCAAGGATCTCCCAGAGGGAGGGAGCAGCACGAAGTGGGCCGTCTCCCATGCTGAAGAAGAAGAGGAGGAGGAGGAGGAGATTAGATTTATACCCCACCCTTCACTACCTAAGGGAGTCTCAGAGCAGCTTACAAACTCCTTTCCCTTCCCCTCCCCACAACAGACACCCTGTGAGGCCGTTGGGGCTGAGAGAGCTCTGCTGGAACTGCCCTTGAGGGAACAGCTCTGACATAACTATGGCTTGCCCAAGGTCATCCAGCAGCTGCAAGTGGAGGAGTGGGGAATAAGAGGGAGGGAGGAACCGGAGGAGGAGGAGATTGGATTTATACCCCACCCTTCAGTACCTGTAGGAGTCTCAGAGCAATTTAGAATCCCTTTCCCTCCCCCTCCCCACAACAGACACCCTGTGAGGTAGGTGGGCCTGAGAGAGCTCTCCCATGAAATGCCCTTGAGAGAACAGCTCTGAAAGAACTTGTGATTGACCCAAGGTCACACCATCAGCTGCACGCGGAGGAGTGGGGAATTCAACCCGGTTCTCCCAGATTCGAGTCTGTGCTCTTAACCACTACACCAAACTGCTGGCCCAGATGCGGGAGGCTGTGGCAGGGCTGTGCCAGCATCTCCCGGGCAGCAGACAGGATGCCAGTGTGGCCAAAATCAGTGGTGGGAGCTGCAGCCCGAGTGAGGGGGGTGATCTCAGCCCTGCCCTGCCTTCCCTCCCTGCCCGTGCCCCACATCCTCCCGGCCGGGCCAGCTGGCGGATGCTCCTTCTTGTCCTACATGTTATGTATTGGACTGTTTGAGCCACCGTAGACCTGGGGAGGGACGGAGCAGAGAGTTCTCCCATGCGCGGGAAAGCGGGGTGAGCTCAGTCCCTGCCTGTTAAGAGTTGGTGCCTCTAGGCCATATTATTGTTAATCTTGACGGTAAAACTTACACGGCTTTTGATGAGGTATCTGGTAAAGAGCTTTTAGCTGCATGTGTAAAACCATAAGAGAGCAGAGAATAGATTGGAATTTGTTCCATTTAGAGAGGGTTATTTGAAAACTTACAAAGATATGGGGCCTCAAGGAGCAACTCAAAGATAAAAGTGCTACATTTTATTTATTCAGTCATTTAGGAATTATATGGAATGCTTACTATGATTTGTAATTTAGTTTAGTGCCTTTTATTAAAACGGTATATAATTGATAGGGTTTATAGAACTAAGGGGTTTGAAGGCAATTAATTCCAATTTCAAACAGTGGGCGTAACGAGGAGGGAGGGGGTGTGGGGCCCCCCCTGGTAAGTCCTCTCACAGGAGGAGGGAAGGCTGAGTTCCTTCCCACCAAGTTTTCTCGGCCCTAGGAATGAGAGGCAGCCCCCTTTTGGTTTTATTTTTTGGGTGAAGCTGGCTTTTCTGAAGAAGAAATTAGATTGGAAGTATGTAATAGCAAACAGTAAATGGAAGAATACCCAAAGTTATCTGTATTATTGTTCACTACAGAAATTAATAAACTGATTTTAAAAAAAAAGAGTTGGTGTCAGACATGAGTTGCGGTGCTGGTGTTACACAACAAACAGTATTTTGTTGAGTTACTGAACTGCCTGGCCATCTCAGTACTTAATACTGGCGACGAGGATGGGGTTCCAAGGCCAGGCAACTGCAGAGTAAGTTGGAGGGGCAGAAGATGCAGCGGCTGCAACCCACAGACACTGAGGGAACCATGGCCACTCGGGGCCACATGGAGGAATTTGACTCCGCTTGCCCAAAGAAGTGGGACTCCGTGTGACTAGAATTTTACTCAGTGGCTAATGGGATTACCGAACTCGACAAGAAGACAGCTGTGCTCCTGGGTGTATGTGGGGCCTGGCACATTTGCCCCCGCACAGGCTCTCCTGGTCAGGGGTCATTTCGTAGAAAAAGAGCTAGGGGAACTCATTAGCATAACTCATTAGCATATGCCACACCCCCTGACATCAGGGGCCCAGCAGTGGACCTGCAAGGCCGGCGGGAGTGTGAGGAAGCCCCGCGAAGGCCCTCCCTGGCCCCAGGCAGGCAGGGGTGGGGAGAGGCAGGGAGGAAGCAACTTACCCTCCCTCTTCTCCTGCCTCCTCCTGGCTGAATGAGGGCCGGAAGCGGGGCGGCCGGAAGCAGGGGGCGGGGCTTTGTCATGTGCCCTGCCCCCTGTACCTCACCCGTGGGAACTGCGATCCCCCCCCGAAATGACCTCTGCTCCTGGTACCCGCGAAGCTGGCGGATACTTCCCATGACGACATTGTGGCTGCATCGGAAGAACATCTTGCCCCAAAACCGTCTGAAATAGCACGACGGCATGCATTCCACACACGGAGCCAGGCCCCTTCCGAAGGCATCGCCTCATCCGCTGCGGGGCTGAGACACCTGGCACAACACTGCAACTTTACTACCTTGGAGGAAATGCTCCGCTATACTGTTTTAAGAAAGAAACTAAGCTGTTAATTTTACCACGGTGGTTTTTGTTCTGTTGGCACGTTAAGAGTCGGTGCCAGACGTGAGTTGCAGCACTGGTGCTGGATTGTTGCGCTATTGGACTGCCACCTCCATACTTAATGCTCCGCCTCTTTCTCTCCGCAGGAGACCGTCGCCAGGCTGCCTTGCCCGAGGGGATGGTGGCACTGCTTGGCTGGCTGGTGCGCCTGGCCTGTTCTAAGCGGTGTCGCTGCTGCAGGTGGCGATGGCTGGCAGTGGGGCTGGTGTCTGGCCTGGCCTGCCTGTCCGTGGTCACCTTCCTGGGCAGCGGCAGCCATGAGGAGCTCTTCTCACGTACCCTTGACCTCTGGCTGCCCTCACCCCCCACCGCCCCCACTGCCCCCCTGCTCCTGCCGCCCGCGGGTGCCTTCCTGCTCCAGCCCCCGGAGGCGGTCTGTGACCCAGGGGGCCCCTTCCTGCTGGTGCTGGTGGCGAGCGCGACAGAGCACAAGCGGCAGAGGGAGGCGGTGCGGCAGAGCTGGGGCGGGGCGCGCCGGGCGGGGGGCCAGGCTGTGCGGACCTTCTTCGTGGTGGGGCTGCCGGCTGAGCCCGGGGCGCAGGTGGCGTTGGAGGAGGAGGCCCGGCGACATGGGGACCTGATCCAGGGGCGCTTCACCGACACCTATGCCAACCTGACACGCAAGACGCTGGCCCTGCTGGGCTGGGCCACCACCTGCTGCCCTGGTGCCCGCTTCGTCCTCAAGGCCGACGACGACGTCTTTGTCAACCTTCCCGCCCTGGCCCGCCACCTGGCCACCCTGCCCAGCGACGCCGACCACCGCCACTACCTGGGCCGTGTCCACTGGCGCTCCCGGCCCCACCGCAACCCTGCCAGCCGCCACCACGTGCCTGCGGCCCTCTACCCACCTGACACCTTCCCACCCTACTGCAGCGGCACCGCCTACGTTCTCTCTGCCCCTGCCATGACCGCCATCCTGGCCGCCGCCCCCCACCTGCCCCTTCTGCCCATTGAGGACACCTTCATCGGCCTCTGTGCCTGGCAGGCTGGCATCGCCCCGCGCCAACTGGTCCGCATGGCCGGCACCAACCACTTCCCGCCAGACCCCTGCTGCTACCGGGAAGTCCTCTTCAGTGTCCATGGCGTCGGGCCCTCTGCCATGTTGGACGCCTGGCAGGCCCCGGGCCACGGAGAGGCCTGCAGCCCCCTCCAGCGCGGCCTGGGTGTCCTCCGCTGCCGCCTGCTGGCCTGGTGGGCGGCTGCCCGGTGACGGGGAAAGGAGCAGGGATGGTCTCAGGAGAGCCAACCCCTGGCTGGGCTGGGCTGGGGGGACTCTGGCCTTCCGTGAGGGGAGTGGATGGCCAGCAGGGGCTATCAGCCCCCAAGTCTATTGTTCCATACTATTGTTCCGTCTTAACCTAGCCCTGGAAGAGGGAACATGGCCATATATGGCATTTCCCCATATATTCCCCAAAGAGCACTTCGGTCGGGGTCGCAACACCAGCTGACGGACATGTTCCATCATTCATCTTGTACTCGAGACAATACGATGGTAATTGAACACATCAGTTAAACCTGCGTGGGAAACCGTCAGTTCTGAAAAATCCCTGCTCTTTTCGTTATCTTGGTATCGAAGTAACTCCAAAGAAGTTAGACATGTAAAAGATCTTCTGGACCGTCATGGCACTACAAGAATTTTGTATATGCTCCCTTCTGCCTTTCCTTTCTGTTACTATACTACATCTTTTACCACCCTGGTCTCTCCCACTGTGCGTATGATGGTATTTGTGAGTTTATTTATGCATCTGTCAGTATTGATTTTAAATTGTTTTAATCTTGTATTTATATTTGTATTTGTAGTTGTACATGCACATAGTGCCTTATGTGAGCCGCCCTGAGCCCGTTCGCGGGGAGGGCGGGGTACAAATGTAATAAAATAAATAAATAAATAAATAAATAGTTTCCCGGAGCAGATGATGCTGAGAAGTAGAGCAGCGGCAATAGAGCAGGGAAATACGCCATCTTGTGAAATAACATCTAGAGCACTTTTGTTAAAATTGGTTAATAATGTTATTTGTACTGTAGTGATTTTTAATTAATTAAAATATGTTTTATATTGGCGTATGCCTCTTGTAAGCCGCCCTGAGCCCGCGTAGTGGGAAGGGTGGGGTATAAATTGAATAAAATAAATAATCAGTCTAGAAGGAACATGCTGTTAGAGGCAGGGATTCTCTGTCTCCTTGGTGCTTGGCGGTGGGGGCAACAGCTGGAGGGCTTCTAGTGTCCTGGCCCCGCTGGTGGACCTTCTGACGGCACCGGGGTTTGGGCCACCACGTGGCACAGTGGTTTGGACTGGAGGGGCCCTTGGCCTGATCCAACATGGCTTCTCTTATGTTCTCTTATGTCCGGGGCAGTGATGCTCTATATTCTTGGTGCCTGGGGGGGGGGGGGCAGTGGGGGGGGGTTTGGGGTCTCGGGCCCCCCGCGTGA